GCTGGTGTGGCCCAGGTGATTGAGCGCTGGACTGTGAACCGAAAGGTCGCCAGTTCAATCCCCGGTCTGAGCACATGCCTGGGTTGTGGCCAGGACCCCAGGAGATGTTTTCTCCCAGTTGCTCATTTGTCTTTGGCCTTCATTTATAGTGTTTGAATAACACTATAAATGAAGAGAGTTTCAGTTTCAAATAGCTGGATCTATAAATCTTTTCACCTCAGACTTCTAGATTTCCCATAATGCTAAAACAGGCATCCACACCCCAAGGCCCTCTTCTCTTTCTTCCCAACACTTTTTTCTAGCTCTACTTCTTAGGTCTTTCCATCTGTATACCATTTCTTCTTATAGATTTTTATAGATGGTGTGAAGTAAGGATCAAACTTATCTTCTTCCAAATGAATGGCCAGTTGTCTCACTTTCACATACTGAAGTACATTCTCTCTCTCACTAAGAGGAAACACAGCCACCTGTAAGACCTTTAAACCCTATTAACGTATCAGTCTCTTCTGGAATTTACTCTTTTTTTTAATGTTAGCACCACCTTTTTATTTGCTGTAACTTAGAGTATATTTTGGTAACAAAGCAAATGCCCTTCATCCTTATTTCTCAAACTATTAAGCATTTTTCAGCCAGAGGTACCTTATTTTTAAAATGACATTCCTCAACAAAAGCATTGGATTGCCTTAAATTTTTTGTGTTAATATAGGAGTGACTATTGTCTTTATAATATGGCTTTTCTCCATCTTAGTCATGGTCTGTCTTCCTATTTTAAATGTTTTTTTAATGTTCTTTAACAGTAATATATTGTTTTATTTATATAGATAGCACTTTTTAAAATTCCTTGGTGTTTTACATTTTTTGTTACTTTTGTGAATGAGATCTTTTTCCCATTGTATTTTATAACTGACTTCCTAGGATTTGTGTTTTTATTTTATATTTTATGTCTACCATCATTTAAATTCTTTTTATAATAATATTTTTCTTGTCATAAATTTTATTTACCAAAAACATAGGCCAATGTATATAAGGCAGAAACCCTTAGAAATACAAGGAGACTCTGGGAGAAAGAAAACAAAACTAAGATTCTCTTTTAGAGTTTGACAAATAAAGTATAGAAAAATACAAGGATCTGTGTGAGACAGAAATCTTGTTAATAAAGAACTTAAAAGAGAATACTCTCCTTATACCCTACAGAACAAAAACCAAGTATGTGCATAGTTATAAAGAAAATAATAATGAATTCTACCAAGGGAATTGTACAGGTTACATTCTCTGACCATGATGTAATAAAATTAGAAATCAAGCAGCTAGAAGATAACCATAAATAATAATGAATTTTGTGGAAATTTTATGACCACTTGGAAATCATAACAATTTTCTAAGTAATTTATTCTTCAAATTAGTTTACTCTTGTTTTAAGAAAAAATTACATATTATTTAAAGACTTTAAAAGTCTTAAAATTACATATCATTCAAAGATTAACAATTAGAAAAGCTTATTTAAAGATTCACAAAAAATGAGAAAAGTAGAAGTCAACAATATAAAATAAAACAATAATCCTCCCAAAATGAAAATAAAACTTCATGTCAATTTTTTTAATAAATTATATAGCTAAACTGACAAATGTGACTCATATAAAGCAAAAACAAAAATATACAACATTAAGAAAGATTTTCTCAGAAAACCAAGAAAACATGATATTAAAGTAATTATAAGAAATAACCATGTACAGAATTAAACCAATGCATTTTTAAATCTAAAATATTTCCATAGGGAAATCTGTTATCATTAGCAAAATTGACTCATACAGAGGTTGCAACCTGTACAAACTAATTGGCAAGAAGACATTCACAAAATTATTAAAGAGACACTCCTAAGAAGGATCCAGACCCACATGGCTTTACAAAGAAGTCTCTTTAAGGGACTGATCATTCTCATATTGTTTATAATATTTCAGAATATAGGAAACGATAGAAAGCTTGCATGTCCCCAGTAGCAAAACATGAAAAACTAACAAAAGAGAAAACTATGGATCAGTCTCATTTATGAATATAATATCCTAAAAAATATTAACAATTAGAATCCAACAATCTATTAAAAGACCAGTAAGCTGTAATTAGGAATGATTTATTCTAAGAAATCAAGGATGGTACAATATTAGGAAATCTATTAATATAATTAATATTAAAGAATAAAAGAGTGATCATATTACCAGTATTAATAAACATTTTTTTAAACATTGGATTCATTGTCCATTTTGAGTGGTAACTAAATTTTAAAAGGAGTGGAAGGGAACTTCTTAAACATATCAATATTGTTCCTGTCATAAGCTGTCTAAACATTGATGATTGTAATAAGTATCATTGATTAAAGTACTGAAAATGAAGATAGTCCTACTCAAGTGCTTTGGGTTGGGTAATTAGTCAGGAATCACGGCCTCTTTAGGACAGCCTAAAATGATGCTTTATTCAGATTAAACCTTTCATCTCTTATCACACTAGACTTTATTTCAAATTGAGATGAGAAGATAAGTGTGTGACCTCACAGTGTCTGTGTATGCCTATAAACCACTCAAGTGGAACTTTATGGACAGTTTGCACCTTCACTTTCATTTGCAGCGTATCAGAGAATAGGAAAGTAGTCCTTCAGCTAAAAATATTAGTAAAGCAGACCAGCACTCAGAAATGGACTCTACTCAGCAGAAGTAGTAAGTACCTTCTTTTTAGGGAATGACTGCTAATTGAATTTTGCCTAGGTATCTTCTAGGAATTATTGCCTTGAAATCATTAATTTGATATTTGTTAAACCCCAGTTGTAATGTGCACAGTGTTGTGGGCCTTTGCAGACGTAACAATGGATAAAATTGGATCCGTACCCTCTAGAATGAACCATATTCTTTATGTATTGTATTAGAAAGTTTGAGTCTCAGGTGACAGTGGGTTCAGAGAGGCAGTGGTATCAAAGCTGGGCTCTGTGAGCGAAGCAGAATTTCTGCATGTGAAGAGGAGAAAAGAGCTTTCCCACCTAGAAGCACAGTGTCAGCAAAAGGACGGTGGCATGAGCTGGAGGATATGTGTGCATAATTGGATGGTGCTCAAACTTAGCCAAGAGCTAGGGTTACCTGAGAATTTTAAAAAAAAGAAAAGAAAAGAAGAACTGCAGGGGCCCCACCCAATTCAGTGGTTGCTAGATAGGCCCAGACGCCTGTGTTTTCCTGAAAGCCCTGTGGGTGATTCTAACGTGCAGCCAGGCTGGGGAGCCAGTGGTGTGGTCTTGTATGTGACTTGGCTGCAAGGAACATGAAGTACTGTGAGAGATGATGCTGGAAAGCTATGTCACAGCCAAATGATTACTTGAGTAACATTGTTTTGGTATTGTGCGTTTGTTTTCTCTTCTAATTTCTCTTACATCACCACCATCTCTCCATTAGATATCAACCAGCCATCCCTTAAACAAAACTTGACCTCTTGCATGAATTCAAAGTGAAATAATGCTAAAGGAGATGAAGATGAGGAACCAGTCAAGAATCTTGTTAGATATTGCTATGTTATCACCCTAAAACTTAAAACAACCACCATTTTATTATCACTCACAATTCTGTGGGTTGAACGGGACTCAGCTGGGTGGTTCTTCTGTTCCACGTGGTGATGTTGCCTGGGGCCTTGGTCACCTGGAGAGTCATTTGGGTTGGTACGTCAAGACTATCCACTCACGTGGCTTTTAGTTGAAAGCTCAGTTGAAGCTGTCAGCTGGAACATCTTTGTGGGCCTCTCGCTCCATGGCAGCTGGGTTCCAAGAGGAAGCATTCAGAAAGGTTCAGGCTACTGGAATTCCTGTGGCCTAGCTTTGGTAGCCTCAAATATCACTTCCTCCATCTAAGGCCAACTCAGATTCAGTAGAAGGGGAATTAGACTCCATCCCCTGATGAGAGGAGCAGCGTGTTCGTACAAGGAGAGAAAAGAACTGATGACAGCCAGTTTTGGAGACTTACTACTGCAATCTTAATGAGCCAAGCCCTCTACCATCAAAATACATAATAAAGGAGAATATCAGGAAATTTAGACATAATCAGAAATACAATTAGACAAAACAATATGTAAGGATAAAAAGAACCTGAGTGATCTTAAAAGCTTATGTAATAGATTTATGTGTTAAATTCCTTATCTGGCAATAAAGAATACATCTTCATTTCAAGCATCCATAAAATATCTGCTCCACCCCCCACCCAAAAGAAAGAAGCACTTGAACTCTTATATACTCTTATAAATCTGAAACCTTAATGATATGCTTTCGTCACTTCTCAACCTGGCAGAAATAATTACAGTTGTGTTTCATCTATTACTGTATAATGTTTTGTATAATGTTCTGTATTAGTATAAAGTGGGGTTCTTCCCATTTTGGCATTTCTTCCTCTGAATGACTTTTGCACACAGTATAAACAATTGGGCTACACATGTCTCTTTAAGTTCTTTCTTTTTTCTTTTTTCTTTTTTTTTTTTTACTTTTTTCCTGAAAACATCAGCATTGAAGGAGGCTTTATTTTAATTCCCCACAGTCTCATGCAAAGAGTAGTTTTGACTTATCCTGGGTGCTCACTTGAGACTTCAGAGTCCCTGCCATCATCTTCTAATTTCCCAGAAGGCTTACCTGGGAATTGAGCTGCAGTCGTTGCCAGTACCTGTTTCCTGTGTGTCGTTTTTGTAAGCTCCTTTAGAAAAAAGTAGTCATTTTAAGACTTTTTTTTAAAGTCTTTGCTTTGCTGTCTGAAAACCAGATATTTGACCCTCCTCATAAGACACACAGAGTGTGAGATAGGAACCCAGGTTGTGGTGATGTCATTTCCTGGACCATCGGCAATGAGTCCTAGGTACCTGTTGCTTCTATCTCAGTGTTCCCTGCGATCCTTCTGAACCGAATCTTGGCATTAAAGCTCCTGGGAGGAGGGTTTTAGCAGACAGCCGTCTCCCTCAGTAACACTCAGATCCGTTTGCTGTTGCAGGTCGTCACGCTGTGGTACAGAGCCCCGGAAGTCTTGCTTCAGTCCAGCTACGCCACCCCCGTGGATCTCTGGAGTGTTGGCTGCATATTTGCAGAAATGTTTCGTAGAAAGTAAGAAAAGTCTTTGTTTCATTCTGTCTTCCTTGGAAAGAAACTTTCTGGGCCTTTGGTACTCTTAAGTGGCCTCATAGCATTTCTGTTTCAAGGAGGGTCACGTTATCCAGATCCACCTGCTTCAGAGGCAACCGCCTTCTCAGTTCTCGCAGTGTCGGTTTGTCTGACTGTAACTTCCATTTCTCAGGAACTCTATTTGGAAAGGAATACTCCACTATTACAATTTATTTTGTTTTTATTGTGATGATAGGACACAGTGAACATGAAGCATACTATGGTATTTTTTTAGGGAGGAACTATCCTCAAGGTGAACTTTACCCACAGGAGGAGGACCAGGGCTGTTAAGTATATGGAAATTTTCACAGTGAGGATAGTGGAAAAACACAGACCATTTAGGCTGAAAAGGAACAGGCAAAGAAGAAATCAGCACTATTTCAGAATACTTTAGATGCTGTTGTGTGAGAGAATAGGCATATTACAGAAATAGTTTTCCCAGAAGGAAAAATCCAATGATTAGACAGTTATCTGAAGAAGAGGTTGGGGTTCATGAAAACAATGCATTCTGACTAGGTTCCAAGAGGAGACAGGACCACCACCCAGTGAGGTGTTCTCAGCGGCATTCATTGAGTGGTGGGGGGAGGGGCAGGTGACCTCCCGGGTTCTTCTGACTCTGAGAGTCTCTGATTCATTTGTTCAGTTTTCAGGTCATAAGAAATGCCAAACAATATAATGGAAAATCTGCCAGGAAAATAATCCATACCTGGGTACTAAATTCAGCCTTGTCAAAATTAAACAGGGAACCTAATTATAATCTAATCCCAGTTTTCTATTTTTACTCCCATGGAAAATGTGAGTTGGGAAGCTGACTATATTCCCATTGGAAATGTTATGTTCAGAACAAAGCTACATGATCACTCACAAGGAGAAGTGGTCAGCCATTGCCTGTTTGTTTGTACCAAGTGAAGTTTTGTGCATTTAATAAATTTTGAGACCTATTTCTAGAACTCAGCAGATTTTTTGGTAGCTCACAACAGGGCATCATGGCAAGGAGAGCAAAATACACAGATGTTTAATGCAGGCCTTACTGTGTGCCAAATACAGGACCGAACTGCTTCCCTGATGTTACCTTTTGGCTCCTCACAATAAGAGATAAGTGAGGCGTCGTGGTAAATTTATTTGTCTAATGCTGAGCATCTAAAAATAAATGTAGTAGGGCTATGATTCCAATGCAACTGCTGTGCATTCTAATCCAATGTTGTTTTTCTACCGAGGAGGGCAGATAAAAAAGGTAGTATTGAGGTTAGCTGCAATGTTTGCCAAACAGGCTAAGTAGAGGCATACGTCTTTTTATTGCACTTTACAGATGTTGCTTTTTGTTTACAAATTAAAGGCAAGACCCTCCCACCAGCAAAAAGATTATGAGTTGCTTTACCTCAATACTCGGTTTATTGCAGTGGTCTAGACTGCAATATCTCCGAGGTATGCCTGTAAGCAGTTTTGGAACTATGATCCTTGGATCAGCAGCGTCAGCGTCATGGGAGACCTTGTTGGAAACACAAATTCTCATGCCACACCCCAGACCGACTGAATTAGAAGCTCTTGAGCTAGTGCCCAGCAACCTGTGTTTTAGCAAGTCCTCCCAATGATCCTCATTCACCCTCCGTGGTCAGAACCACTGTGTTGGACGAGGGGGTCACCAGGGATGGGCATTCTGTAAATGTTCAGCTCTCAGACTCCCCCTTGAAATTCTGATTCATTACCAGGCAGAGGTGAGGCCAGGCATTGTTGCTTTTAAAAGTGCCTCATGTAATTCTTTGCGTCAGACAAGTGTGGAAAACGTTGGGTTAAAGACTTATGGTCAGAACAAGGAATAATTTATTGTCAATATTGCAGGGAGAGAGGTAGGGCTGGCATTCCAGTTAATCCCAGGAGTAACATGGTGTAGCTGGGAATTGGTTAGAAAAATGTTTATTGGAATTACATTTATATACCTATAGTTGTCCTCAAATGTAGAGATTGAGGCCTTCTTTTGTTATGGCAGGAGTGTGATTGGTTATTTTTCAATAGGACAAGACTTGAACAACACTCATAATCAATGACAAAACCAATATTTTTCTTAAGGATGTGAAAAGAGATAAAATGTAAGATAGACCCTTGTATAATGTTAAACATTTGCTAGCAAGGAATTTGCTGCATTTGTAAGTATAGGTAGTCACCCCCAATGGAAAAATGCAACCCCAATTTTTATTTTATAGCATTAAAACGTTTTCCCAGTGAAGTGGTAGTGTGATTGGTAATCTGGTTCCCAGTCTAGCCTGCAGAATCCTATATAACCTTGAACATATATGAAACATTATTTGTACTGATTCATCAAAACCTGTTTTCTATTGTTGCATTTTTTCCAAAGGCAAATTCATTGTATGTTCCAGTCCAAAATGGCAGGATTGTCTCTTCACCCCGGCACTGGGTCTGGGAAGGGGGACTCAATGGCCGAGACTGAGAGAAAGGCTGCTTTGACAATTGCTCCAACAGTCTCCTTCAGTTTGCTGGGAAGTTGAAATATTGGGCAGAGACCCATTGACTCTTCACCTGTGCACAACAGAAAGGGCCTTGTCCCTGGGAGCCGTGCACAGAGGTAGCCGACTGAGAAATAACTGGCAGTGCTGGGAGGCAATATCAGAATCCAGGCCTGTGTGCCTTTAAAGCTGAAGGAGACCAAATCAGGACCTACCACACACCTTTCCTGGGGCGGATGTCTTGTTTCCTAGATAGTTCCTGCCAATTTGGCTGTGACCATGAACATGGCCATGGGATTTGACCCTTGTTCCTGCTCAGTTGACATTTGGCATTTCCTGTGATGACACCCAGATATCTGAATGTGCATGCTTCTTACTTATGCCAGATGTGTTCTGGGGTCCATGGCTTAGCCTGACCTGTTTCCAGCTTGATTCTTGATTCAGTGTTGACCCATGGAATCTGAAAACAGACTTCCCTAATTTTGTCATCTTTTAACCCTTTCGTGATTTTGCCATATTCTTATGACAACTACATTTAATTTTTTGTTACCCTAAATCATTTACTTTTTCACTTGGCCTCATCTAAGCAGAAATACATAAAATAACAGATTTGATGAGCCAGTTATTTATTTGTCTAATACACACTAAAATATATATAGTATAACCATTAAAATTATTAAGAAATTTAGTCCATGTTCAACCCCCTGAAATCATTTCATATCACCGGTGGTACATGTCACATGCTGGAAACCCTGTAACAGATGTTTTTCATTTAGTCTACAAATACCTTACTGAGTGGTTACTATATGCTGGGTCCTTCTCTAGAAGATTAACTTAAATCCTACTGGGGGAGAGAGGTGCCGCATGCACTGCTAGTTAATTAAGCAGAGCTGGGGTAAAAGCTGTGAAGAAGCAGAGGGTTCTATGAATGGGTGTAATGAGAAGACCAGAGAGGAAAAAGCAATTTCTCTATGGAAGGCTAGAATTCAGGATTAACCTTCCTTCAAGGGCACATCCTAGTTGTTTATATAAAATCCCTGAGGAAAAAGCATTTATGCGTCAACAAGGCTCACCATTCTCCATAACCAAGGGAGAAAAAAAGAAGCCAAGGGAATTCACATCAGTCTGTCATGTGACAAACCCAGGGCCAGGGCCTTCCCTTGCATTATCTCACCAAGCCCACACTGTGAGGACTATTATCCAGTTTCCAGATAGAGCCTTCCCCCGGGAGGATCCACAGTGCGTGCATGAGCACACAGCTCTTAAATGCGTGAACGGCTTTTGAACCCGGGTCTGCCTGACTTGGTAACCGTTGATTTTTTCACTCTGCCATGTTTCTGCCCTTGCTATTGTTTTACCTACTAGGCCATTTTCTTTTCTGGAATGTTTAAATGTTATTGCAGTGTAGCCACAAGGATATTTTAGAGAGGTCAAGAAGCAAACCATATATTAAATTGCTTTGATTTCTAGTCTTTCCTAGATTGCAAAGGTTGACCAATTCTCTGTGATATATTAAGGGATGAACGCCTTCTATTCTCAAATCGAATACCTAGAAAATATGAACTCCAAAGAGTCTTAGGACAGATGGTTGACAAAGAGCCAGAGAGTTTAAATACCATCTGCCACTATTATCTGGGTTTAATAATTGCCCACACTGACCCACAGTAGCATTCTAGAAAATGGAGAAGAGCTGGATTTTCATCTCCCTCCTTTAATTCTTTGTCTATGGGCGATCTGACTTTACTCAACATTGAGTTATATTTTAATACTAAATAACTTCGCTATGAATTTGGTCAGTAGACAAGTAGCCAGCTTGAGGGACAGGACCAGACGGGACGGGATGGGATGGGATGAGTAGACAGATGAACAGATGGATGAGATACATTGATTTTTTTTTTTTAACTTCATGGCAAATTAAATTCACAGTTGTCGACTCTGCAGGTATCTATCGGTTACCTTGTGATCCTGGTCAGAACTGTTGTCTGTGGTTTGAAAGCTATGGGGTTTTCCAGGTTACAGCAAACTCATAAAAAGAAAATGCACATTTAAAAAATAAAACATGCTACTAATTCTTTGAATGTGGAGATTGTGGTGAACAGATAGTAATTCTTAGAAGTTCTGAGTTGCCAGCTCTGCTGGTCCCTAGCTAAGAAATGCCAAATGCCACCAGAAAGAACATAATAAATACGGTCACTGTGTGAAAGAAACAAACAAGGCTTCATGGTTCTGTTACCCCATGTATGGTGGCCTGTCTAGGCTTGTCGTCATTGGTTTCTATGAATTAAACACCCAGTAACTGAGAAACTGACAGTAAAACTGTCCTTTGTGGTTGATGGTCTGTGAGCAAATGTCCTTAAAATGTCACTGAGTGCCTTGCCAATTTTCCCATCAGCTGCTGTACTGCTGTTTCCCCACATTTGAGTGTTCTCCTTAATGGCACGAAGTGAATGAGGTCCTTAGCTGCCAGGCCTGAGCGCCAAG